GTAGTACCGTGTCTGAATCAGGGTCACACAGGCTGTCGGTGGCAGATCCAGAGCCAGAATGTCTGCCTACAACCATAGCCCCAACGTCTCCACCCTGGAGGCCTTATTAGGTGTCTATGGACTAGACAACAGTTGTGGGTTCAGATACTTTAATCTTAGGCATCGGCAGCTCAGAGGGGGGTCTCTGGTCCAGAAAGTGAAAGCAAATTAATAATTACCCTAACAACTGACTCTAGAACTGAATCACCCGTTTAAACAGAACCCAACCCACACCCCCACTCACTGGACTGGAAGTCGCAGGTTTCCTGGTGGGCTGCTGTCACTGTACTGAGGGTAAAGGAGAGGACTGTGCTGTCTCTCATTAGACATTGCAATTGGCACGGAGAACAACATGTAGCCAACTTCCAATATTTTGTTGTGAGGAAGGAAGGAATGAATGAATGAATGAATGAATAATAGAGTAGAAGATGGATGAATGAATGATAGAGTGGACAATGAATGAATGGTCGATGGAGAGCCAGGTATTGGGACTTATGTGCAGAGTCCCAGGAGGTCTGGCCTCACCTGCTCCCTGTCCGTCCTGGAAGCTGAGATTCTTGATCAATCCTTCCACCACCTGCTCATAGCCACCTGAGGAAGCACAGTCATGATGACCCTGGGGCTGCTGGGATGTGCAGGTGTGGTCACAGTGACACTGGTTTAGTTCTGAGTCAGCCATGTGGGTGAGTCCCTGGGGTCTTGGAAGTCATTTTAGCCCCAATGTTAATTTCATGGACGTTTGTGGCCTTTCTAGGTCCTTCCCCGCCTTTGTGTCTGTGTCCATTGCCTTTGGCAATGCTGACATGTGGAGTAAGTCCAGAGGCCGGGCGAAGTGTCTCTTCCTCCTCCTCTGAATTCCCAGCCCCCAAGCAACTGCCTCCTTCCTCTTCTCACTTATGACTCCATCCTCCTCCCGCTGTGGCCCCCATTCCTCCAGTTGCTCCACAGATACCTAATGGGCTAATGCTCCTTCTACACCCACCCGTGTCACACATGGTCACAAGCTGTGTCCTCTCACACAGTGACATACTCCAGTCTTGATGAAGTCAGTTAGAATGCCTAATTTGGAAGGATTTGATAAAACTCACTTTATGGTTCCTGGGGTCCAAAGAAAGGCAGAGAGCATCTCATACCTGCGCTGGCTCCTTCCCACTTTGTTATAGAATTGGGGGCAGAGATTTCTTTTAAAGGTACTCACATGATGTCTACCATTGCTACAAACCTACGATTGTCCCCCCATATTTTGGGGAGGGGACGAGACTCACTATGTAGCCCTACTTGGTCTGGAACTCACTATTGCAGACCAAGTTGGTCTCCAACTTACATAGATCCTTTTGCCTCTACCTCCAGAGTGCAGGGATTAGAGGAGTGCTCCATCATGCCTACTTTCTCCTCTTATATAACACAGAAACCTCACACTCACCCTCTGAGCAGTTCTGTCCCCAACAGGACTCACAGGTCTCTGCTCAGGGAGTCACTGATTTCAAATCAACTTTAGCATCTACTTTGATCATCATGTGACCGTGCAGTACTCTGCTCAGCTGATGGCCTTGTCACATTCCCTAGAGAAATACCCCTTTCAGGAATTGGTTTTAGACCCTGGGTATTGATAACAGTTTTCCCACATGGAATAGAGTTATCAACAGAAATTCCTATCCCAGATCTGTCAACCACACCTGGCTCCCAGGCCAGAGTTACAGCATCTTCTGTCTCCTGTCTTCTTCCAAGTAGACCTGCATTTGAAGGCATCCTCCTGCATTTCATTTAAGATCTCCACATGATCCTCATCTGTTTGAGAAAGGACATTAAAACACAAGGATAAGAACACAGTTCTGTCTGTGGCCTTCACTCTTCGGGATCATTCCTTGGACTCATGCTTTGTCATTTAAACTGTCATATCAGTCACCATCAATTTCCTGAGAAGAATGGCCCGCCTCGTGGCCCTGCCTGACCCCTGATATGAGTGCCAGGCCTGCTGATCCTGGTCTCCTGTGTGTGACTTCTGGTCACACATCAAGTGCTCAGGACAGGCTGTGGGCTTTCTCAGGGTTTAAGCACAATGGGAAGTCTCATCGTGACACACTTGTAGGACAGCCTTGCAAAGCCAAGCCTTGGAGGACACATTCCTCCTGCAGTGGAGGTCAGTGCAGCTGGAGGGACTCAGCACCTCACGGTGCAAAGCATGCAGGGAGTCAGGAAGGACCACAAGGGGCGATGGGGTCTCTGCCTCTGGGTCTTGGGCCTGTCTATCAGCAAACACTACACTTAGATCCCAGGTGGGAGTCTGTGCTTCTCCCCCACACAGTCTACCACCTCTGAGCCTTCTCCTCCAACTGCCTGAGATTCATCTTGCTGGTTTCTTAAGGACTATGGTAGTCAGAGGGGCAAGAAGGGTCAACTCTGGTGGGAAGATGCCTGTGCAAGGATAAACGATACCACACAGGGGAACCCAGGGAAATCTTCTTTCTGTTGTCTGCACAGAACTGTTATCCAAGCCTTACATCACAAGACTTACACCCGTGGAGGGTGAGGACTGTAGCATTAACATGTGAACCTGGAACTCCAAACACAGCCTACCTGTGGTGGATAAATGGTCAGAGCCTCTCAGAGGGTGACAGGCTGGAGCTGTCCGAGGGCAACAGGACTCTCACTTTACTCAGTGTCACGAGGAATGACACAGGACCCTATGAGTGTGAAACCTCGAACCTAGTGAGTGCCAACCGAAGTGACGCATTCTACCTGAATGTTACCTGTGAGTAACTTCTATTCTGTCATGGCTGCAACTGCCAGATACTCAGAGCTAGAGCCAGGCCACTCAGTCCCACTGGGGTTCACGATGCAGATGGACACCATGGTATCTTGTCCTATGCAAAGCCTATTCAGCCAGACCCAAGAACTAAGAATCAGCCTTGAGTTAAGAACTAGGTGAAGGGACTTAACCCGTCTGGAGAGACTCAGGGTTACCACCTGTAATGGAGAAACAGGGATATCTCCAACTAAGGCTCAGTAAGCACATGAGAAGCTGGGACTTTCTAGTGTATTTTGTACTGGTGATGGAACTCAAGGCCATGTGCACGCTAAACAAGTATTCTACTATGCTACATCCCTAGCCCTGGTTGGGACCTAGTTAACAGTGCTTATAACGTAGCTCAGAGACATACTATGACCTACAGAGGAGGAGCTGCACTTCCCTCTCATGATGTCACATGTGGCTTTATTCTGTTTGCTCCAGATGGCCCGGATGCCCCCACCATATCCCCCCCAGACTCATATTTCCGCTCAGGGACAAACCTCAGCCTCTCCTGCCATGCAACCTCTAACCCACCTGCACAGTATTCTTGGCTTATCAATGAGAAGCCCCAGCCATCCTCACAAGAACTCTTTATCCCCAACATCACTACTAACCATAGCGGATCTTATGCCTGCCTCGTCTATAACTCTGCCACTGGCCTGAATAGGACCACAGTCAAGAATGTTACAGTCCTCGGTAAGTGGATCCCTGAGAAAACTGCACCAAGCTTTTGGTGGAGACTTTTGGTTTTTCTGGAAAGATGCAGAAGTTAATTTCCAGCCTGTGATCATGGGCAAAAGCAAATTCCAATCTTCCTCTGAGAGTCTCACTGCGTCCTGCGTCTCCTCTTCCCTTCAGGCTTCTCTGATTTCTGCTGGCTGACTGGGAATGGGCCTGGAATGTGAGGAGGAGGTTCTCCCAGCCCAGGGAAATCCTTCATTTGTGGGGGCGACTTCCAAGTGGAGGGAGGGTCCTTAAGGTCAAGATGATTTCTTTGTAACTCATGGCTTCCTGTCCCCTCCATTTTCTTTTTCTGACCTCTGTGCCCCTGAAGGAATACATAGATTTGGAAAACATTGGTTTTATCTAAATGGGAGGAGAAAACTCCAAAGATAGGGGACAGGCAGCTCAGAGATCTGTCCCCATCTCTGCTCCTTTCACGATGGGTCTGGCTTTGCTTTCACTCCACTGAGCTGGGAAGGGGTAGGTGAAGGTGCCTGAGAGGCCTGTCCAGAATTAGGATCAAATATGTCACTAATTATTTGATGTGGCACGTTTCCTTCTTCTCAAAGTTAAAAAAAGAAAACCTGTCACTGATGGCCGACAGAGCATCCCTGGGGTCGGTGGGAAAAGTGAACCTCAGGGTCGATGACTGAGGTGAGTGTTGGCTCTGCAGACCCAGCAGAGGGAGGCTGTGGACAGCAACATATGTGATGGCCACAGAGAACAGCGAGGGCCAGTCACTTGGAGAACAGGAAGCTTCACGTCGACTGTCTGTGTGGAGGAGGGAAAGGGAAGTGCCAAATGTTATCTGTAGTGACGACCAGAGTGCCCGGCTTTTTAAGACAGGGACCAATCATTTTCTTTTAAGGTGATGATAAGCTAGCAAATAAAACTCTTGAAAATAGAAAAATCTTTACTTTGAGCTTTCTCCCAACCCTAAAGTCTAGGCCTCAATGTGTTAAGACACCATCCTAATTCCATGACAAATTATTTAAATGAAAAGGAAGCAGAAAGCTACTTTATAATGGAGGGGCCTGCTCATGCTCCCGAAAGTACCAGAAATAGTTTGTACAAAAGTCAAAGGAAAAAGTATTCCACCTGAAGATGAGGTTTCTGGATACATGGGCTGAGAAGAGGTTCCTGGCATGGAATCTACAAAGATGTTCTGGGTCAGGGGTCACTCTATGTGCTTGGGTCAGAGGAAGGTGCAGCTCTGTCTTTACAGATTGGATTGTACCCTGAGCAAGACATGCGACCTTGCAGAGACTCTGGACCACCTCATACCTTACACCATGCGCCCTGGGAGCTGGCTGAGATCTGCTCTCAGTTGATCTCCTCCCCTGTTTCTCCACAGAGCCAGTGTCACAACCCTCCATCATTGTCACCAAAAATATCAAAGAAAAGAACTCTGTGGTCTTCACCTGTGTCTCAGGTGACCCTGAAATCTCCATCCAGTGGCTCTTCAGTGGCCAGAGCCTGCAGCTCACAGAGAGGATGACGCTGTCTCAGAACAATAGAAGGCTCAGCATTGACTCCATCAGGAGGGAGGATGCCGGGGACTATCAGTGTGAGGCCTCCAACCTGGTCTTCTCCAGCAAGAGTGACGTCTTCAGTCTGGTTTTGATCTGTGAGTGATCTTCAGCCCCTCCCACAGCCACCTTGAACATTGTGTTGTTGGGGTTGGAAAATGACTCACGTAATTAGTATAGGGACAGACACCCTTCAGAACCGAAGACAATGTGCTTAGTATTAGAGGCTGTATTACCTTGTTACTACCTTGATTCTGATCTGTACCAGATGGTTGACCTTGGAAGAGACACTCTTTGACATGAGCCTAGTTTCCTCATTTAAAATATTAGAACACAATTCTGTATTTTGAGGTTGTTATGACCATGTTTAATGAATAGTTGACCTAATACCTTTAGCAGAAGGTCCTATAAATAGTCAATGTTCAAACTTTGTGGTCTACACATGCTCTATCAGGAAGTTCCTTACTAGTTCTTATAAGGAGCAGAACTGACGGAGGATTTCATTACGTCACTTGCCGGTTCTGTGAAGTTCTTTGGTTTGATGGAGTATACAAGTGTCAGATTTCCACCTGTGCAATGGGGGTAATAGCACCTCCCTTCTATGAAATGTGTGGATAAGATGTGATGTCTTCTGGCTCAAGACATACCTGGCTTCTCAAAGCCTCTCCTGGGCCCCCTCCTCCTGCCACAGAAGTGGTGAATAAAGGAGTTGATTTCCACTCAGTCTGTCAAGGACGCTCCAGAAGACAGTTACTATCACGAACAAATTAGCCTCAGGTTGACCGTTAGCTCCTGCCGCAGGACTGTCATAAGATGGAACAGAATTGACAGAGAGTGAATCACTAAAAAGAACAAGATGATGCATGGCCCATGCCCCTGTGGGTTTCTATAAGGCTTAGAGCAGCCCAGTGTTTCAAAACAGGAATTTAAGCCACTTGCAGGAGCTGCAGTGTGAGGACACGGTGGTTACAACAGTCACTGGAACATCAGCCCTGTTCCCTTCAGGCCTGGCATGGCCCCTCCCTGCCAGGCCTCTCCTGGCTTCCCTGAAGCTGATCTGAACCTTCTTCCCTTTTTCTCCCCCTGCAGCAGAACAAAACCCCCAAGGCCTCCCCGTGCGGACTGTGGTAATCATTGTGGCCGGGGTCCTTGTTGGGGTGTCTCTGGTGAATGCTCTGTGCTGCTTCCTGTTCCTTACAAAGACTAGAAGGTACCAAGGCTTCTCCCCACAGGATCCTCAAAGAAGGCCTGGCTGTGGGGGAGTCAGGACCTCCCACTGTTTACTTCAATCTACCCACCCAGTGAAGGTGGTATAGCCTGGGGAGCCACCACAGCCTGGTGGGGTCAGCACTCCAATGGTTGCAGCAGTAGCTGTAGCTCCTGGTACATGATAAGGGAGTTCTGGGAACAAGTCATGACAGCAGGTGTTGGATTTGTTTTATGTCTCTTGCCATAGGCCACTGTCACATCCTGTCCTGAGGAGATGCTGTGGCCGCAGCTATGCTGCCAAACTGAGATCATGCGGTTCACCCTGGACACTGTCCACAGACTGTCCACAGGGCCAAGCCTGCTGTACCTCTCTAAGCCTGGACATTTCTATTCAGTGAAACTTTCTGAGTGGACCATCTTGGGTCCTCAGTCCCTTTCCTGGGTCCTGGGTCAAAGTTACTCCTTCAGCCTCCTCAGCGCCCCTTTCGTGAGCCCTCTTCCTGCCATTGCAGAACTGATAGAGAGAAGTGATTCCTGCCTCTTCTTACATACAGGATCCCTTCCTTATACCCTATTTCCCCCCAAAGCTGTGACCTTCCCATCAACTCACGAATAATCCCCACCGTTCCTAGGGTCAGGGTCCAGCATGACCTCAGAGAGCCAAAGCCGCCAGTGTCCACTTCAGGTGAGTGCCTCTTGCCTTCGGTTGTGAATCAACCCCAAGCCCTGCCCCACAGTGTCCTCTCCTGTAGCCCCTCCAGTGGTGTCTCAACCTTTCCTTGGAGCACAAAGAAATCCTCTCCTAAACATCACAGGGAACCTGGACTTCTGTGCCAGCCCAGTTCTGTGAGCTGCTGGAAAGAGTCAGCTCCTCGGCCTCCTCTGCTCAGTCACTTCTGAGGTGGTTGGAGTGTCTCTAGAAGTAGACAATTAATTTCCCTGATGCTGGGATTGTTTACCACCTTGTCCTCCTATAGAAGGGGACCCCTTACCTCATGGCACTTACCTCACACCCTCCTGTTATCCTCTCTTTTGTTTCTAGGTCCTGGAGCCTCAGACAGCTATGCCCTGGTAAGTCTGATTCTTCCCCATCACACAGGGTCCCAGTGGACTCAGGGTGGGATGCTGTCACACCCAGCACTCTAGACAAACCCATAAAGTTAGGAGATAGTGAACTCAGCCCTGCCCAGGACGGGCCTTTCTTCAGGGCAGTGCCACCTTCTCCCTGTTGTGAGCTGCACCCTTTGTCCGTCCTGTGTCTGAGGAATCCTTGAGCTCAGCACATGCAGAGTGGGTGGTGGGAGGATCATCACAGGTGTAGGGAAAACAAGGGTGTGTAAGGCTGTGTGCTGTGTGTTCACATGAGGAAGGAGGTGCTCAGAATGCAGAGCTGGTCGCACTGAGGGGACGTGGGGAAAAGAGACACAGGGAAGGGAGCTGTGGCCTGTCAAGACCAGGAGCCTCTAGCCAGCGTTGTACTTGCTCAGTGTGGTTGAGCCTCGCTGGCCCTCCCTCCGTGTCCCCTGACATCGGATCTCTCCACTATAGGTCCCCTTTTCCACCCCCAAGGAAGCCACTCCTGTATACCAGGTAAGTAAGGCTGATGAAGGTTCCGGGCTTTCAGACCCAGGATCGATGCGCCCTCCACATCTGGCTGAGCTTTGACATTCAGGAAAGAACAGGGGATGTGATGAAGGACGATGAACAGAGCGAGGAGGGACTGGGAGCCGGGACACTGAGCCCAGCAGCACAGTGCACAAACAGCTCCAGTCTAGCCAGTGCCTGGGAGATGTTTGATGCTCTTCTGAGCAGGGTGCAGGGATGAAGCCTTCTTTCATTCTTCAACAGGAGTTACTAAAGCCTAGTGTGAGCATTTATGACCAGATCAACCACACAGAAGATGTGGCTTCTTAGAGTTCTCCACAACCAGCTGTGTATGAGACCAGAAGAGTCCCCTTGGCATCCAGAGCCAAGGAGGCAGGACAGAGATGTAAACCAAGCCCTAAGGGAACTCTGGGACTTGGGAAATGATGGCACTTGCCTCTTTCTGAGGACTCAGTGATGCTTCCTTGTGTCTGAACAACCACGGCCCTATTTCCTCAGGAAGATGGGCTACAGGGACAGTCAAGGACTCTCCTGGTCACCTGGAAAGGACTGAGTAAAGAGTCCCTCTGCTTCAGCTGCTCTTTTTGCTGTCATGGAGACGTCTCTTTAAAAATCAGTAAATGTTGGGGCTGGAGAGCTGGTTCAGCGGTTAAGTGAACTGTCTGCTCCTGCAGTCACACACTGCAGCACCCACATGGCAGCTACGAACCCTCCTTAACTCCAGTTCCAGGGGAATCCGAAGCCCTCTCTGACCTCCGTGATAGTGCACGATATAGGTACATTCAGGCAATATACTCATACGCATAAAATAAAAATAATAAATAAAATATTTTTAAAATATAAAAAAATCAGTAAATGTTTAGAAAGATTTCTCTCTCTCTCTCTCTCTCTCTGTGTGTGTGTGTGTGTGTGTGTGTGTGTGTGTGTTGCACATGTTGGGTATCACAGGCCACATTCCCACACACAAACTTGTGCTTGCACTGGAACTCCAAGAATGTTCTCTCAATTCTGAGTGTCGTCTGTCCTGAAACAAGAAGCAGGGAAACAGCACTCAGAGCTCCCTGCCAACATTTGGCCCTGGCGAGTCCTTGTCCCTCACGTTGACGCTCATATCGTGAAATGCAGATCAGAACCACTTCATGATTCCATATTTCTCCTGTCGGACTGGATAACATCAAGAGAACCAAAGACACCAAATGCTGGTGAGGATGTGGAGAGAGGGGAATGCTCCTTCACTGCTGATGGGAGTGCAAACTCGAGCAACCATTGTGGTGAGCAGTGTGGAGAACTCTTAAAAAAATAAAAATGGGGGCTGGAGGCATGGCTCAGTGGTTAAGAACACTGGTTGTTCTTACAGAAGACCCGGGGTCGAATCCCAGCACCCGCATGGCAACTAACAATTGTCTGTAGTTCAAAGGGATCTGACAACCTCTTCTGTCCTCCATGGGCATCGGATGACATGGGTGCACTTACCTACACGCAGGCCAAACACTCATACGCATAAAATAAAAATAATAAAATATTATAAAAATAAATAAATAACGAACCTACCACATGACCTAGTTGTACTCCTTGGCATATACCCAGAGGCCTCATCCTACTATAGACATACTTGTAATTCCATATTTGTTGCTGCTCTCTTCACAATAGCTAAGACATGAAGACACCTAAATGTCCATCAGTTGATGGGTGGATACTGAGAATGTGGTATATTTGCACAATGAATTTCTACTCAGAGGTAAGGAAAGATGAAAATTGTAGGCAACTGGATGAAACTAGATGCTGTTATATTAAGTGAAGTAACACAGACTTGGAAAAAAATAGTGATGTATGCTTTCCCTCGTTTCCAGATCTTAGCACCAGTCCCTTAATGTAAGTAAACATCGTGATGTCAGCACAGGAGCCACAAAAATGGAAAGGAAGCACGGAGGTAAAGGGAAAGAAAGCATCTGAAAAGGAGACTTGGAAACAGATGTAACCAAGGGAGAAACGTGGAAAATGCGGGTATTCAACTGAGAAGGATGGAGGGGAGGACAAACCAAGAGCCATGAGGGTAAAGGGGAGGAAGGAACTCCTGAGAGGTGGGGGTTAATGAGAAACAGGTATTATCAGGGAGAAAATGGGAAAAATAGGGGCACTTGATTGGTATGGAAGAGGGAGGTTAGAAAGGGAGAGAAGAGAGATAAACAAAGCTTACGTGGTGTAAAAAGCCAGAGAGAAATGTGTAAATTCAGTCCCCCTTGAGAAATACACATACAATTTCTGAACACGAGTGAATGTGTATACCCGAAGGCTGTATAAGAAGACACAGTGCCAGACAGGAGAAGCTTCTCTTCCAGCTGTTGGTCAGAGTTCTCCCAAAATAACACTGGCTATTGCCACAGCCCTTGATTACCCCCCAGAACTTGAAGGTAAGGCCTTACTGCTGAAGACAGGACATACTTTGGACAAAGAAGTTGGAACAACGGAGCTAGAACTGACCTGGAAGCCTCTGCCTGAAGACTAGCTCTCGTTTAGAGGATACTTTGCAAGCTGCTAAGGGAGAACATCAAGCAAAGGTCCAACCCAGTTCCGAAAGCTAAGAACCACAGTGACAGGCACAGGAAGTATAGTGACACTTTTATTTTGGGAGTAACTGACAGCTATCTATTTGAACTTAAAGCTCTCTCAATGGGAAGGAACTCATGAGCGGTACTGTAAACAGCCAAATACACATGGCTGGAGAGGTCACCGGTCCTGGAGAAAACCCTATCTCCGTCATATCTCTAGAGAAACGAAATTACTGTATGCTAAATATGGATTCTTATATTTACACACAAGCATACCATACACCACTCATCAGAGAAGCTTCTTTTTGCAACATATGGAGGCTACTACAGAGTCCCACAACTGGACACACACTGCGATTTTTTTTATTGAGCTTTTGTACATTTCTTACAGTAGAACTTAGCCAAATTTAGATCCCCTTCCTCCATCCAGTCCCTTGTAGCCCCCCTCTCCCACTGGATTTCATGCATTCTGTCGTACATGTTAAGTCCTATCTGGTCAAGCATTTGTACCCAGGTGTCCTTCGTATCAGTCCATCCAAGGCTGACTGGAGTCTAGTCAGCCTATCTAGAGATGCCCCCTTAAAGAAGATCTACTCTCCCCCATTCTGCAGTAATCAGTTGCCAATAGTTACTCAGTTAGTGTAGAGGAACCTACCTCTGCCTGCTACCCATTTCCTTCCTTCTGTGTTGGGTTTTTGTGTGATGGACTTGACATGGGTTTTCTGCATGCTGTCGACATTGTTGCAAGTTCCCAGTGGTCTGAAAGTCTCTGTTTCCTTATGTTCATCACCAACCCTGGCTCTTACAATCTTTCCACCCTTCCTTTGCAATGGTTCCTGAGCCAATGATGTGTGAGGTATAATATAGGAATCTTATCCAGGGAGACGCTCTCTGGAGTCTCTTATTCTCTAAAACTGATCCCGTTGTGGCCTTCTGTGTGTATCACACTCTGTTGGATGCGGAAGCTCAACTGGAGAGGTTTGAGGAATGTGTTAGCTTTCTCTCCACCTCTTGTTCTACCTTGTTCCATGACCCTTAGGTGGAGCGGTTCCACTGTAGGTGTGCCACTTAGAGCTGGGCATCTCTCAGCCATATATTCTCTGTCTTACTAGTTATGGGTTGTAAAATTCTCCATCTGTTGCAAAAAGAAGCTTCTTTGGTTAGTGGTATGCTCTTCTGTAAATACGAGAATCCATGTTTAGCACACAGTAAGAAATTTTATTTGTTGAGAGGTATGGTAGAGGTAGGGTTTTCTCCCCAGTCATGTGTATTTGACTATACTGACAGCACCACCCATGAGTTCAGTCCTACTGAGTGGGCTTTAGGTCCAAATAGATAGCTGTTGACTACCACCTAGATGACAGTGCCACCACTGCACCGAGAGAGCTAGTGTGCTATTCCAGTTGTTGGTCTTCAGGCTTTGACAGATGTGTCCAGCTAGCGGCCCTTGCAGCGTTCTCCACATTAGGCAGAGTGGAGACAACAGAAGTGTCTATGAACAGGTGAATGTGCAACAAACTTGGTCTACGCATATGTTCCAGTAGTCACCAGTCACAAATACACGTCCCGATGCATTCTATAATATGTGCCAGCTTAAGAACACGATTAAACAAAAACAAGATAGCACTGTTTACATCATTTTATTTTTTTGGTCTTTTTGAGACAGGGTCTCCCTGTAGCTGCAGTTGGTCTGGAACTCACTATGTAGACCAGGCTGGTCTTGAACTCACAGAGATCTGCCTGCCTCCGCCTCTAGAGTGCTGGGACTAAAGCTGTGCACCACCATGCCCGGCTAGATCATTTTATTATGCTTCACTTTCTGTTAATTTTTAAATTATGATTTCTTCGAGTCTTAGTTTTAGTTCATGTGATGATGATAATTCTTGATAATTCTTGAAAAAGTACGATAGTTGTGCAACATGAAAATGTGTTTATGGGGGATCTGGCCTCTGTCTGGTGTAGGGGCTGAGAACCCAGCAGACATCCCGAGAGTGTGTGATCAGACCCTGCCAGGTCTAGGGGCTAAGACCTCAGGAGACCACCTGAAAGCACTTGGATCCAGCCTCCATGTGGCGCTGAGCTTCCCCAAAACTTCTGCAAATCTTGTCATACCCAACCCCCTAATTGGGATTACATGAGCACCCTCCCATGGCCCCAGGGGTAGACCTCCCCTACTGTAGGGCAGAGACCCTAGCAGACTGCCTGAGAGTACCTGATCTGGCCTCCAACTATGGCGGGGGCTGTGAACTCAGCAGACTGGCTGAGAGTGCCTGATCTGGCCTCTGCCTGGTGTAGGGGCTGAGAACTCAGCCGTCTGCCTGGAAGTGCCAAAATCAGGCCTCCCCTTAGTAAACATCCCAAATTGTGCTCTGAGGACCTGATTGGAGTGTCCAGACATTAGAAGGAAGCCTGAGTGTACCTGACTGGAGCCTGACTTGGGCCTCTGTGGGAGCTCCTGAGTAGTTGATCTGAAGTCAACAGTTCCCTCCAAAATAAAATCTGAGAGAACCTGAAACCTAGACCAACCAGCTTTACATACCCAATAAGAAACCAACCAAGGCACAGCAATAATACAAACAGAAGCAGACTTCAACTCAGCCAAGGAAGGTTTGGGTTTCAAACTAGAATCACAAACAACAAAAGAAATCCACATGCCAAAATTGCAATGGAAAAATAACAGGGAAAACCAAAATAACACGTTCCCACCAAACCCCACCAGCCCCATGGAGGAGTTCTACAAGGACAAACACCCAGAGA